TGTTATATAAGCTCTAATTCTACTATACATATTTTTTATATAATAATTATTAAAATAAACTAAAAAATTTTCAATTATTTTTTTAAAAAGATAATTGTTATTTGCTCAATAAAAAATATCTAAAGAAGTTTTATTATAATTTTTTTTAGACCATTTTAATGCAAATATCCAAATTCTAAAAATTGTTTTTATATATACTATATATAATTCAGATCTAAATAAAATTGTATAAATATCTAAAGTAGTAGAAATTATATTATATAACAAATCAATAATTATTCTATATTCAGTATCTTTACAATATAGATCAAATTTTTTTAAAATTATTTTTTTAATTTTTTGTCATGCTTTATATACTAATTCTAATAATAGATTAATTTGCCAAGATTTAGATTTTTAGCTAATTTTGTTTTATTACTAAATACAAAATAAAATAATTGTTAAAAAAATTTATAATTAATTCTTAATACTGTTTTTTTACTATTTAATACAACATGAAATAGACCTATAATTGAATAAAAACTTTTATAAATTTGTAGAATATTTGATATTAATTGTTAAAATTTTAAATATATAATAATTTTTTAATTAAATAATTGTTTTGGCCAATCTGTAATTATTAAAATTATATTTTAATTCAAATAATTATTAAATAAAGAAATATTAATAATTATTTTAAAAGTATTAGTATAATTATCAAATAAATATAATTCTAATTCTTTAAAATCTATAAGCTGTAAATTTTATATTGATCTTTCTTATTGATATTTTATAATAGCATTTTTATATAATAAATTATTAAATTATCTATATTTTTTAATTTATTTAATTCAAAAAATAAATATAATATTTATTGAGATTTAAATAATTATAACTTATATCAAAAAGAGTACTATATGTTTGTTTTTAATATTTTCAAAAATTATTAGCATCAATAATAATTAGATTAAATAAACAAATATTATTATAATTAGCTAAAATAAACAAAAATTATAAAATGCATCTAAGATGCTCAATACTAATGATTATGTATATATCTTATTATATATAAAATTACTAAATTATATTTTATTAATTATATTTTATTAATTTTATTAAAATTTGATCAATTATACAACATATTATAATATGTTATTATAAAATTATTTTTAATATTATTTTATTTTCTTTATTTTAGTTGTTTTATTTTCTATTATTAGATATTTTAGTAATTTTACTTTTTTTATTATTATATATCATTAAAACTATCATTTTACTTTTTTTATTGTTTTTTTTTTTTGGTTAAAGGCCATACTTGTGACAATACTTTAATGACTTTTATTGGGTTAGCTATTACAACTATTTTTATAGAGATAAGAGTATAACTAGTCATGTATACAATTTTTGGTTGCCTATTTAAGTAGTTTAGCCTAAGGTTCTATACTAGATGCTATATCTATAATCTACTAAAAGATTATTTATTTAAACCTTTTAATTATTTGCTTTATATAGGTTGTATAAAGACATATCAGCAGTAGCATAGCCAGAATAATATTGGATAAATATCGGAAAACCGATAAGAAATATAAATTTTAAGTTTAATCATGAGAATATCAGATTGCTGATATTAAAATGAAATTGAACCTAAAACTACAGATATTTTAGAAAACTAAAGTTATAATATTAGAAATACTGATATAGTTTTTAATAAAATGATAATACTATCAAAAAAATTTGAAGACATATCAGCAGTAGCATAACCAGATAATATCATAGAAATATCAGATATCAATCGAAAATGTAAATTTTAAGTAAAATTGTAGGAATATCGAAAGCCAATATTAATATAGATCCTAAAAATATTGATATTTCAAATACAACTTGTTAGCAACTGGAATAATTTTAGGTAAACTGATATAGCTATATAGCTTTCTACAATACTATGGTATTCAGTGTTTGCATTCAGACTATGTCCAATGTAATTTTTAATTGAACATGAACAAATATGAATATAGACTAGTCCAAATTATGTTTATGTCCAAATGAAAAAAGTATATAAAATGTGATCAATCACGTGACTATAAACCAATTATATTCCAGAATCTATTAACATTTCAATACTTAATTACCTAAAACTTTAGCACCCAAAGTTGGATATCTGAAATTTTGACTTTTTAAACTTTGTCTCTAACTATTTGTTCTTTTAACTTACTGCAATTAACTATTTGACTGCCAATTGTTACAGCAGTGTTAAGTGAAATAATATTTATATATAATAAAACAGTATTTATTATAGCATAAATCATTGGTCGAAGATATGCAATTCAACCTTCTATATTTTATAACAATTTGGAGCTAAATTGGCATCTGATTTTTGGTTGATAGTTAAAGCTATAATTGATAGTTAGAAAAATTATAATTGAAAATTTTTTTGTGCAAAGTATACAGGTTTGCAAAAATTTTCACAAGTATAAAATATTGATTTATATATTTTTTTTATTATATAATTATATATAACTATTATAGTACTAATATTTCCTAATTACTATGTTAATATCAAGAAACTAGAGTGATATTAAAAAACCAGGATACTAAAAAACTCAAACGATATTAAAAAACCAAAACACCAAGAAATTAAAACAGTACCAAGAAACTAAAACAATATCAAAAAACTAAAGCAGTATCAAGAAACTAGAGCAGTACCAAAAAACTAGAATAATATAAAGAACTAGAGACATCAAGAAAACACTAATAAAAAGAAAAAATAAACAGATTTGTAAAAGAAAAAATAAATGAAAAAAAGCTAAAAAAAAAAAAAAAGTATATATCAGTATATACTTATGTAAGTCTGATAAAAAAAAATAAAGAAAAACAAAAAAGAAGATTAAAAAAAACAAAAAAGAAAAGATTGCATTATTATATATTCTGAACTATAAATGTTAACAATAGATTTTAACAATATGATTGTATAAACCCTGCATATTATTATTACATATTGTTAAATCCAGGAGCTCTAATTTGAACATGATTCTGCAAACCCACTGTGCCGATATGATTTTTTCAGTAATCAACCTAAAATCAGATATCAATTCCTCTCTGAATTGCTATATAAATATTCAAGGCCAAATAGTGAGTAGAGTTTGGAACCGAATTCAACCTTCGAATTTAAATCCAATTTTCTTCATATCTGATTTAAATTTGGATATAAAACCAATATTCTGAATCTGCAATACTCACATTATCTGTACAAACTTATAAAAAACAAAAGTATTTTATCATCATTCTTAAGTAATCAGATATTTTTGTCACCAAATGTATATATATATATATATATATATATACAATGATGCTAGGCACAACCTAGGCACAACCTAGGCACAACTGAATATTATCGAATAAATTCGGATTAAAATCTGATGCATATTTTTATTAATTAAATTTAATACAAATCAAAAAGCAAAATTCAGTTTCAAACTTTAATAGTGAATGGAAATTGAGATGATTTTTTTTTATATAGATGGTTTTAGTTTTTTTTTAGATTGATATTTACTAACATTCGACTAAGTCAATTGTTATATATTTGACCAGTGAATATTCAACATATAGTTTAATAGATAGAAGATAATAAATGTATTATTCTTTGTTTATTAAATTTTTATGCATTTTTATTTTATTTTGTACACTAAAATAATAAGTGATCTTTTTTATTACAATTAAGCAGCACAACTTTGAAAAAAAAAAAATTAATAATCACAGCTAGAGATGGGTTTGGTCAGCTTAGCTGTTTTATAGCTGACCAAACCTATTCCTAATCACAGCTTCAAGTATTTGTTTTTATGATTAATCTTTTCATTTGGTAAGCACATTGTTAGAGGCACTTGAGAATGATCTAAATTAATCTATTAGTTAAATTTGTGCTTTTACAATATTTTTCTATTGTACTTCTAATTTTATAGTTACCCTAAGAATATTATGAATAGATGAGATAACAAAGAATGTGACTTGGCTAAATCATAGTTAAAAAGTGTAAACTGCATTACCAACATATAAAAAAAGACTAATTTGGATTTAATTCATAGTAAAACCTTATTAAAGAACAGCAAGATGTTTTTGATTATTAAGAGATAGAACTAAAAAATATTGGCAGTCATAGTCGTGTATAAAAATAAAAAGCATGAAAGACTTACTATTAGCCATAAATTCACTCTAACTTATGTAGTAAGGTTTTAGAATTTAATTATTAAAATCATTGATAGACAATATAAACAGGTATGAAATACTTACTATTAGCTATAAAATTTTTTTTAACTTATGTAGTAAGGTTTTATAATCAGATTGTTAAATAACTAACAACGAAATATAAACAGATATGAATAAATCTTACAATTATTAAGAGATAAAATGAAATAATGTTATAATTATGTATAAAGTAAGGAGTATAAAATACTTAATATTAGTTGTGAAATTCTTTCTAACTTATTTAGTAAGGTTTTAGAATTTAATTATTAAACTTATTAATAATACAGTATAAACAAATATAAAATACTTACGAGTTATAATCAAAGGTTTCAGAGTCTTATTGTTAAATAATTTATGGCGCAATATAAATGATATGAATATTTACCATTAACTATAAAATTGGAATAATATAACAAGTTATAATCGAAAGTTTTAGAATTTAATTGTTAAAATAATTGATAGCACAACTTAAACAGTTTTAAAGTACTAAATGTTCTATTTTACTTTCTAATCTTATTTTTTTGGTTAATTTCAATTGTCCAATTTTATTATATATGAGAAAAGAAATTAGTAATTAAAAAGATACAAATCAAATAAATAGCACAAAGAATTTGCAAAAAAAAAAAAAATTGAGATTACATACAATTAAATTAAAAAAAAGTATGGGAAAACAACCTCACTATCTGACTAACTTTATAATCATACTTGATAAAAAAGCAAACAAAAGTAATAAATTTTGTATTTGTAAATATTGTATATCAGGCTCTTCATATAACAATGCAATGAACAATAAGTTTGCAAATACACAAGAGCTTGTTCGCCACTATTTAAAAAATTGTATTTACTTTAAGCAAGCTTATAGTGAATCTGAGCAAGCAGAAATTCTGAAAAAGTCTGATAAATTAAATAGAGAAGGTTAAGTAATTATTAATTATACTTATAATTTAAAATCACTTTTATTAATTGATATATTTAATTTAGATTCTCAAAAGAGTTCTAATGATAATTCTATTCCAGATATTTCTTTATCATCATTAGAGAATTCTACATTTACATCAAATCAACAGTTTTCAAATAAAAAACATACAATTGATTAATATTGTTTATGACCTTTAAGTAAAGATTACAAAAACAATTTGAGCAGCTTTTACTTCAGATGACTGTCTTATACAGTTAGGCTTTTTCTTGGATAGATAACCCTGAAGTAAAAGCATTTTTTAAATTTCTTTATCCCTTAGTTAAACTACTTTTACAAAAAGATCTTAGTAGTCGAATTCTAGAAGAATCAGTACAAAAAATAAATATTTCTATTCAAGAAGCAGCTCAAAAAGATACAAATGATGTTACATTAGCATATGACAGTTGGAAAAACATAAAAAAAGAATCAATTTTTGGGAGCATTTTAATTACTTCAATGGGTAAGGTCCTTATTTGGAATGCAGAAGATATATCAGATGAATGTACAAGGTAGTTTGATGTGCAGCATAAGACAGAGGATATGTTTAATAATTTAAATAAAGAAAGGATTAAAGTTAATGCTGTTGTCACAGATTGCGTATCTCAATATGAAGCATCAAGGTAATATTATATACAAGTAAACTAATTCAATACAGTGAAACCTCTATAAGTGCATCCTCTATAAGTGCACACTCTTTCCAAATGCACGCTTAAATTTGGGCCCAAATCTATATATGACCTTCATAAATGCACCTTTTCTTATTGTTCTCTAAGTGCATGTCATTAAAGTTCAGTTTTAAGAGCATGCACTTATAGAGGTTTTACTGTATATTATTACTATTTGTATACTATATTAAAATTTTTTTAAAATCTTTAGAAAACATTTACAATAAATACACCCTGAAACCATATTTATTTCCTGTTTCGCTTATCAGATGAATCTGTGTATTGGAGATATCTTCAAAAATTCAAACAAATTTTCAACTGTTGTGAAGCAAGCTATCCATCTTGTATCTTTTTTTAACTAGTTAACTTTTTTTTTAGGTCATCTTTGTTCAGAACAACTAGCTTTATATAAATCTTATGTTTCTTTTGTATTGCCAAATTGTACATGATAAAATAGTCATTATTTGTGTTTTGCCAGTATTTTTAGAACATGTGCTGCTCTTAAAAATTTAGCAACAAAGATAGAAGAAGGCAATAATGAAGATCTTAATAACTTTTCTGAAATTTTTCTTACTTATATTTCAAACAATGAATGGTAGAATAACCTTATGCAATTAAAAACTCTTCTCAAACCATATATGGCATCATTAAACAAGCTTCAGTGAGATAAGGGTCACCTTTCTGATGTTTTGCATAGTTTTAACTGAGTATGTCAAGTGATTAAAAATCTTTCTGATAGCACTCTTAGAGATTATTTAATCACAAAATTAGAAAAGTGATAGTTAACCTTAGAACAACTATTGCTACTTTTGTCATTTTTATTACATCTATTTTATCGCACTACTCAATTTAATTAAAATATTGATAATCTTTCTTTTGCACATATGGGACGTTGAATTATTTACTATTATAAAAATTGGTTCAATAAATCTCTGAATTCAATTCTATCTGAATTGCAATATTATAAAAGCCAAGAATACCCATTTAATCAAGAAACTTTTAACCAATTTGGTGATGATGTGCTAAAATATTAGAATTTTTGCAAAAGAATTGCACCAGAATTACATTTTGTAGCAGTTCGAATTTTTTCAGTTTGCATAACAATGGCATTAGTAGAATGATTATTCTCTACTATGGGGTGGTACCATTCTTCATGACGCAATTGGCTTAAGGTAAATTTGTTTGATATATAGGGTCTTTGTCTTGAAAATGACCTTACAGTACATGATGCCGTAAGGTTATTTTCAAGGCAAAGACCCCATATATACATATATCTGATTAACTATTTTATATTTATTACATTTATTTATACTATATATATAATTTAACATAATAGTATAAAAAAGTTCTTGCTATAAGCCAACTAAGATTAGAACTTATTCATTTACGAAACATTGCAGCTATTGACAAATCATTAAAGATATATAAACAAAACATTGCAATTCCAGTTAAAGAAAATGATGAACAAAACAAGTTTAAATGAAGACACAGAAGAAGAGCAATTAATTAGTCTATCAGAAAATGATATAGATTTAGAAAATCCTGAAAAGCAAATTCAGATGAATGTTAGTCATTTCAATATAGTTAAAAGCATAAATAACTAGAATGCAATTATAAATTAATAAGTTAGTCTAAATGAAGAGGAGGAAGTTGAAAATGACTTAAATGAATTAAAAAGTCTGTTTAAATTATATTTTGATGAAGTAGAATTTCATTCTGTAGATGACTTTACAGCCAAGTAAAAGCTAGCAGATCTTTTTGTAGATTTACTAGTATGACCTGCTCATATTAATTTACTTTTGAGTAACTAAAGCATAAATTAAATTAGATCATATAATAATAAATTAACAGTATTAGAAATTAACATTACATAGAACTTTCAATTTAAAATATATATTTTTTTTGTATTTGTTTGTTTATGCTTCATAACAAGTTTAATTACTGTTTAAAACATATGCATAAACAAGTTTCAATATTTTTTACATATTCATGAATAAAGAATAGCAATTCCTTCTGATACTTTATTTAGCTGTTCAAAATAAATTATTACTTGTATAATTGTTATGCAAGTAATCTTAACTTATCCAAGACTATACTGGTTTAATACAGGATTGATAAATTTTCCTATCAAAAGTTACTACGTACGTATGTACATACATTGTGAGGAGAAAAATTTGTCCAAGGTTGATGACAAGGTGGCTTGGGTCGATCAACCCAAACATTGACCAAATCTGCCAGATATAGCAGAAATGATAGAAAATGGTAACATATCTGCCAGAAATAGCAGATATGATAGATTCGGTAGATGAAATATGATGAATAGGGCATATATAGTATATACGATAGAAAAGTGCAAAGTAAAAATTAGTAAACGAAAATGTATTTAAATACTACAAAATTCACTGTAAATAAAGCAACTCTATTGAATTCTAAAGCTTCTCTTGAGTTCTTAACTAGTGTCCTATAGTACTAAAAATTACTTTCATATTTTGTTTCATCATATTCTTCTTGTTCTCGTGACTTGTTTTATACCCGTAATCATTATATCGTTCAAAGTAAAGAGAAAAATCGAATTAGTAACCAATCTCTTTTTATATAAAACAATTATCTGATTACATCAGTGATCAATCCATTGTTAAATCATATATACATAATTCAATTTTGATCATAACTACGTAATCATATTTCAGCATCTACTGATGCTGAAATAAATCACATGATCCGGTGACCCTTAGAACAAGCAGTATACCTAAAAATTAAGAAAATACAGTAAAGTCATTAGTATTGAACCAAGTTACTAAACACAAGAACTACTTGCTTAAAGTAAAGAGACACTTATCCAAGCCTGATAATAACTCACAAGATCCAAAAACCTTAAAACTCAGACCAAGTCTAACTATGCCTCGATCAAAGCCTACTAATTTTAGGATTTTAGGTCTTGTTAGAAGTTGTTTTAGTAGTATCGAGTTGCCTATTACTCTATTTAGTGATATTAGGATCAAAATAGACTTTCATAACGTATATATTATATATGCATTTTTGAGTTCCGAGTTATATTAATTTATATTAAAAAAAATAAAATAAGCAATAGAATGAGTAAAAATGAAGTAATATATCAAGTAATTGAAGAAAAATAATATATTGGAATATATAAGAAGTAATGAATTAAACTTATCACTAATCCAAAATTTCATATACATATATATGCTATTGTAAAATGCTTAGGCTTTTTTAAAAAATAAATTCTTAAATAAGTGATCATAAGTTCACCTTTCGACCTTGTATAAATGTCTAGAACTTTAAATAGTGCTTTGATACCTGTTTGTATTTATATTGTTTATTGAGATTTATATTTAGTTTATAACAGGTATATATATACATACACACATACATATTATAGCCACACACCTGATTAATATACTTCCAATAAAACTACAAAGCCTTTCTAATAAAACCTATAATCATAAATATATCTAAATATTAGTGCCATAAATGTCTATATAAATAGTATAACCAGAAATGATTTTATAATTTTTCAAAAAATCATTACTATTATTATTGTAAGTGTGAAGTACTTATATACATATATATATACAGTAAAACCTCTATAAGTGCATGCCCTTGGGACCAAACTTTAACGATATGCATTTAGAGAATAATAAGAACAGATGCATTTATAGAGGTCATGTATAGATTTGGACTCGAATTTAAGCATGCATTTAGAGAGGCTGTGCACTTATAAAGGGTGCACTTATAGAGATTTTACTGTACTTGGTTAAAATTATTTTAGCCAATCAAAATTTTCATATAGGGTTATACCAGTCACATGTTTAATTTGGACTAAGTGCCTATGTCCAATAAAAAAATATAGACTATATAGACATAGTTCATAAATATCCATATCCAATAGTCTATATTGTCTATATCCATATTTGGCAAACACTAACTGGATTCGAAGAATGTGTAAGCAATTACCACTAGCAAGTTTATAAGAGACTCTTTACTCAAAATCAGCAACTGTACCTTTTAATGAAAAGGTTGAATGAGGATGTACAGAAAATTAAAAGCAAATTAAAAAAGCAGCAAGTTGACATAGAAAATGAGCTCTTACAAAAGATCCTGGACATGAGTATTTGATACTTATAAAGATTGTAATGAAAACATTCTAAATTTTTATTTTTTATAAGATGCATATACTGGTATTGCAAAACACCTTTTTCTAAGTCATGTTTACCCTACCCAGGCTGTAATCAAGAAAACTTCTAAGTCTTATATAGATGAAATGTTTCTGGATTTCATGTCTAACATAAGCCTAAACGAATTCACTACCCATTTTCACAGTAAATGATTGACTCAGTTAATTTTTTTTTTTTAATTATGCATTGTTTATAGCCATTAGTAATCATTTATATTTTTTTAATACATTTATTAACTATAATCTATATTATTAGATAATGTATCTTTTAATTAGAGCATATAATATTTGTGATATTGAATAATTGGTTACTACTATTTTATAGCTTCTTCAAAAAATCAAGAATAATTGTGATGTGGCTCTTCAAAGCATTAGGTCTGCAGTTTGGCCATATTTGGACATGAAAGATTGCCTTACCTGAAGAGTAATGCAGCTTCAGCTAATATTGTTCAGTGGAAAGAAAGCCCACAAATAAATGATTGTTATCATGCACTTTTCGAACAAAACAATGAAGGTGTTTATTGGATATCAGTAATTACATGAACTGTATTTTCTACTGTGACAGTTTCTATTTTGACAAATGAGCATAGCATGTTCGCCTTTTCAGTATATGACATTCTATTAAACTTCTGGTTATGAAACATTTTATGTATGTAAAAGCATATAAAACATCGAATTGAACAATTTTTGATAAGTTATTAGAATTTATTTTAGTTTTAATATCATATAATATTAACACTAACATATTATATTAAATTGATATCAAAAGTGGTGATTTATTACACAAAAATGCTAAAGCTCTTCAAAGTGAAGATGAAGGTGAAGCTTATAATGATGAATGATATAATGAGGATTTTCTTTAATATAATTCTGATCCTAAATCTCTTCCCTGGAATATTTCTTCAATGAGTCTTCCTAAAGATGAGTTGGATAAATTGTATGGTGTCACTTAATTGTAATTTATAATTCAATATTTTTTTTTATATATTTTTTTTATGTATTTTTTTTTTATGTATTATTTTTTTTTAATATTTTGTATATTATGTATTGCTTATTGCATATATTATCTATTGCTTATTGTTATAATATTCAATAAATAAATTTATATACATAAATTGATAATTATTTTAAAATTTGTTCAAAGTATTACTATGGTTATTAGTATGAAGTTAATAGTACTAAATATATTTAATATATATCGATATTATACTAAATCATTTTTTATTAATTTTCTATTATAATGAATATATATCGATATAACTCAACAGGGGGGATTACTCTTGATATATATCCATTATAGTTAATAATTGATATATATCAGCCTATTTTTTTTGCCGATGATGATAAAGCTATAGTTTTTGTTAATTCAAAAATTGTTATTGGTTGATACAGACTAGTATATATATCAGAGTTGATGTGTAGCAAAGATTAAAAAAATTGAGTCTATTTTTGTTCAAATTAGAATTTGTTAAGTTGAGCTTAGTTCAGTTATTAAAATGCTCTTTTGTTGCTTGTTTTATTTTTTCTAAATTATTGATTATTTTGTTTGATGTTATAATTTTGTTAAAAGAGACTTGGTCTTGGTTATGTTTGAATATGCTGTTTATCATTCTTTATGTGTTTGATTTTATATTATTGTATCTTTATTGTATATAGAAGTTTATCTTCTTTTTTTGAGCATTTTGAATTTTCAGACTTCATGCTTTCCATAATGTTTTTTTAAGCTGTTTTAAAATTTGTTAAAAATTATAAAAGTTTAAAATTAAGTCTTAAATTTGACATAGAATAAAGATTTGTTCTGTATATAATAATATTTGTTGAAGTAGGTTGTTAAGATTTTGTATTATAAAGGCAAATGAAAGTAAAGGTTTGATGCTTCTCAAATTGTAAAGACATTTGTTAGTTAGTTTAAATACTAAATATAATTTGGATGTTTTTAAAGAATATGCTTGATATGTTTTAGATACAGTATAGATTTTTGGTATAATTTGATTTGCAACCTTCTTGATTGAGTTTAATTATTTGTTTTAAATTTTGTTTAAGTGCTATAGTGTTGTAATATTCTGAATCAGATATATTGATTTAATTTCAGTTTCTAAAGTATTGATAAAGTCTTTCTATATATTTGTTGACATTTGGTAATAAAGACATATCTTTCTTTTTTTTCTCTTTAATTAAGATATTTTTAGTTAAAAATTAGTTTTTCAAGTAGTAGTGATTATTTTATAGCTACTGTCTATAATATCAACAGAGTTAATAAATAGTGATAAAATAAAATCTAGAAGAATTTTAGAGATAACTCAAATGTCATCAATTTGACTTTGATTTGGGCCTCTTTGCTATATAGGTTCAGTTATAGCATAAAAATTAAATAAACTTGTAAATTATAAAGATTAAAGTGTAGAAAATAGATTTGCTAATCATTTTTGTTGTTTAAGATTGTCATTAAAGTCTTCTATTGTAATTGTATACTAATTATTGCTTTTTGCTTAGGTTAGCCAGTTTATAACTGTATTTTGTATGAATTTGAGCTGTTTAGGATGGTTTGAAGAAAGATATATTAAAATTATACAAAGTTTGTTGTTAGCGGGAAGATGAAAGTCAATACATATTGCAGTAGCTAAAACAATTTGTATATTGAATATATAAGGTTAAAGTAAGTTGTGAAGCATAATTGCTGTTCTTATACTGACTTTACATTGAGAATTTTCTTTAGGTATAAAGTTTGATGTATAAATTTTGTATATTGAATTTAATAGTTCTGTGAAAGAAGAGTTTTTTAGTTTAGTTTCTATAATAGATACTATATAATAATTATTTTTGGCACAATATTTAAGCCAAATTTGCAATTTTAGTAGATCATTGAGTCTTTATATATTGTGAGTAGCAATATTAAGATGGTTCTTAATGTTAATATTAAAATTATTTGTAAGAGTGTTTAATGTTTTTATTAAGTTATTGTTGTTTGTTTAGTATAATAGTAAATTAGATTGTAATTGTATACTACCCATGATTGAGAAGAGTAGTTATCAAAGATATCCCAATAGGGGTCAGGTAAATTGAGAAGTTCAAAAAGTTGAGAAGGTAGTCCTTGAAATAAAAAGTAGTTGCAAAGTTGTGAGATATTGTTTGCTATCTGTTTATATGTTGTTATTAGTAGTTAAATTATGTAAGATTAGTTTAGTTCTTTAGACATGTTTGAATTTTAAGTAAACTTGAAGAAAAATTTGGTTTAGTATTTTTATTTTTTGTTGTGTTTTTAATTGAGATCCATTTAGCAAATAGTTGATAAAAAAAGTAATATATACAAAGTTGTCTAGCAGTATCTACTAGGACTTTAAAACTTGTTATAAGTAGTGTTAATTAAGTTCTGTTATTAAAATACAGTCAGAACTCTATAAGTGCACTCTTCATAAGTGCACACTCTTTTTAAGTGCACAATTTGACAAGGTCCCAAGCTCGGGACTTAGTGCTAAGTGCATACCTTCTATTCTCTGCATATGCATAAGTTTTTAAGTGCCGATACTTATATATGCACCTCTATAAATGCATGCATGTGATTAATATGAAAACTGACCAATAATAGTACAGAATTCATATACTAAATCTTTGATATTGTACAGTATGTTGAACTAATTTTTTTATATCACTTGTTGAGTGAAATAGTAATAGCGCAAAAATTTAGCTATTCAACAGTAATGATAACCTAATTTCGTCTAAATTTTTGTGCTGAAAATTTCTTAATAACAAAAGACTAATCATCTTTGCAGATTTATAGTTTTTTTGTAATTTTTGGTTTTTTTTTTTTGCCTTTATTTTATTTTATTTTTACTTTTCATTTTGTATATTATGCACTGATCTTATGAATAAAAATTACAGAACTGCCAAATTTTTGCACTATCACTCACTTGTTAGTTGTTTTGAGCAAATTACGTAAGTTAAACCTAGTTTTGTAAAATATAGATATGTTCACTTAGATCTTTTAAACTTTAATACTTTAACTTTTTTTTTAGAGAAAGCATTTAGAATAAATCTAAAGCTTGATACTGTATATTAGAATCTTATGACTGATTGTATTAATAAAAAAATTTTTTATTAAACTAATTAGTTATAAGATCTCTAAAAGCAACACAACATGTTCTGCTCTCTAAATACCTTAAGATAAAAAGTAATTGTATAATTAATTATTTTTGATATTTAACAAATTTAATAATTTTTTTTTCTTTTTATATCTAGTTTAAATGTTTAGGCCGAATTCTAATTCTTTCAGCAAAATATTTAGATAATTGAAAATTAATTGATTATAATAAATAGCCTTACAAAAATTATCAAAAATAAACTATTTAGGCTGTCTATTTTAAAAATAGTCATTAATTTTACTTTGTTTTATTTGATATATTTTTTTTTGTTTAATAAATTTTTCAACTTTTTTGATGGTTTTAATATATTCATCTGCAGTATCCTGCTGGAGCAGAAACATGCATACAGTTTCTAAGCTTTCAATTGCTATGTTAGCACTAATAATAGAAATTTCAATGCTATCATCTTCAACTTCTAAATTACCATCAGTTAGATTGACTGGTTTGAATATGCCTATAAGTTCTTCAATAATCTGATAATCATTAGAAACTTTGTAAACAATATCTTCCTTAGGAATAAACAAAAATTTATCAACTGGCATTGGATAGGTAAAATAAGTATGAAGAGCTTCAAGTGCATCAGTAAGATTGTCAAGTGCTAGGTCTATAGTTTGAGAAATGTTATTTTGCAAATCAGTGTTGATTTTTGGATGAAGAATTTTTGTGTGGCACTAGCAATTATGGATTGTGTTAGTAGTAACCTCATCCCAGGCTTAAATAACAAAACATATAGCTTGCAATATGTTCATTTTTAGTTTATCTGCAGATTGTCTACTTTCTACACATTCCAACATCCAGCTTAAAAAAAAAAAAAAAAATTTAAGAAAAAAAAAAAAAAATTCTAAAACTAAAATCCTACTGAACATGAAGGCAATGATAATGTCTCTTAAAGTTCATGATAATTTCAGCATTCAAAAGTTGGATTTTTGAAGTCACATTTGAAGGCAAAAAAAAAATATCAGTAAATTGTAAGGTAAGGCCATCTGTGTTATGACTAGTGCAATTGTCAAGAATAAGTAGCACATGTTGCCTATAGTACTTTAAACCAACTTGATGATTAAACTCTTTAATCCAATCTTGAAACAGGGAAGTAATCATTTAGGCTTTAGCACTATTTCAATACTTAACAGCTAAATTATTAATATTAATGTTTTTAAAGCATCATGGTTTTGCATATTTGTCAATTACAAAAGGAGCCAATTTGTGTGAACTATCAGAATTAGTGCATAATGTGATTGAGATATGTTCCTTATTTATTTTACATTCAGAAAGACATTTAGTTGCCAATGTACAGTCAGGTTCTAGCCTATAAGGTAATTTTTAACAATACTGTAATTAGTAAAATATACTTCAAAAGTTATTACAACATCTTTCTTAAGTGACCTTATGGATAAAGATCATGATAATTATTTATGAAAAAATATATATTTTATATAAATAATTATTATAATCTTTATCTATAAGGTCACTTAAGAAAGATTTTGTAATAACTTTTGAAACATCATAACTTATATATTAATAAAAATTATATTGTACCAATAAAAAAGCTTTGTTTCATCTATATTATAAATTCTTTCAGCAGAGTAGTCTAAGCATTTTTTTTTAGTAATAGTATAGTGTTGTTGATAGCTGTTATATCTGCAGATTCAGCTTCTCCTTCAAGATAATGTTGACAGATTCCATTTCAATCCTTAAATTTATCAAGCTAGTCATTGGAAAACTGCAATGCTCTTAGAAGAATTTCCAAGCTATTAGCAAGTAATTTGGCTTTTTTGATAAGTATAACATCACTAAGGATTGTTCAGCACTGGTAGATAAGTACAAACTCTTTTAGGGCAAGGTTAAGTTCCAGGTAGGTTACAGGTTTATAATATTTTGCATTAGGATTAGCAATTTTAGCATTAAGTCATTCATCTGCTGTTTTCAAAATATGTAAAATCATACTTTCATCAATTTTAATACCCTATTTTTTCTCAATCTAATTAACATATTGGGATCAAGTCACTTTATTAGCATGTGCATATTCACAAAGTTCACATTTTTGTGAATCAGTAAGAGTAGTTCTTTTGGGCATTTTACAAGACAAGATGGTAATTTGAGAATTATTTTTTTTATTTAGGTGAGATAGTTC